TCTTTCTTTCTTTCTTTCTTTCTTTCTTTCTTTCTTTCTTTCTTTCTCTCTTCCTTTCTTCCTTTTCTCTCTATTTCCTTCTTTCTCTCTTTCCTTCTCTTTCTCCTTCTTTCTTTTCTTCCCGGCTATCCCTTCCTTCCTGTTGGCTCCCAGGAGGTCCTGTTGCTGTGGCCGGAAACCTCTAACGTTCTTTAGCTAAATTCCCCGCCCTGGGTTCCCCCCCCCTCCCCACCACAACCTCCTCTCTTCTTACTTCCAAGAGTTCTCCGCCCCATTCTTCCCATGATCTCCAGCACAAGTTCAGGCTGAGCTGGAGGAATAGATGTGCTTAAAGGGGCTTAGGACTCAGATATTCGGGGCCCCCAGTTGCAGTCTCCCCTCACATACTCAAGAATTTAAGGGCCCAGGACCCAGGGGTCGAGTCTCAGGGATCCAAGCATTGAGCATTGGGGATGCAAGGGTGCAGCCCCTCTCCCACCACCATGGAGGCCCCTCCAGTCCCGGCCTCCCTGGAACAGGGACAGAGGTCCCCTCCCCCAAGACCCTCCTCCAGCTGTCTGGTCCCAGGCTGTGGCGGCAGTGAGCCTGGTCCCTTTTCTCCCGACATTTTTGAGTTCTATTCCCAGAGGCGACGGAAGGGGCCCAGACTGTCTGGGCTTATTTGTTACTAAATAGCTGTTACTATACAACTGAAGCCTAGGCTGGTACTTTCCCGTTATAGTGGAGCCCACCCTGCCCCGGGGGGTTCTGGGACCTTTTGATCCCCATGACTCCTGTCAGGAGGGATGCATGTGCTGGGATGCTAGTGGTGGGAGGGCAAGAGCTGGAAGAGCCCAAGTGACCTGGGGGGGGGGGGGGGGCGGCTGGAGCCGGGGGCCACTTTAAGCACGTCCCTTCCTCCAGTGTGGCCTGAACCCATGCGTGTGTGTGATTTCTATGTGGGGTTTTTGAGGGGAAGACATTCTAAGGAAGTAGACTTCAGCTCAATATCAAGAAATGCTTCCTCAAAGTATTTAGGAAAGATTGTCCCTGGGTTAGAGGTGAGTTTTCACTTGATGTTGTCCTGAGCCAGGCCTCTACAATGCTTCTGGGGCCCAAACTGTCTGCACCATTCCCCCCCCCCCCCCCCCCCCCCCGCAGGGCCCCTGGATTCACTGTAATCCCTATTAAAAGGGAGCGCCCTGAGGGCAGGGACCATTGTGTTTGAATCTCCTGCACTCACTTAGCCCAGCTCACTCCGCAAAGTGTACCCCAGGCCCCTGACCCCACGGGTTCCTCCCCTCTCCTCTCTCACTTTCCATTTCTGTCTCTCACCTTCTCTTTCAGTTTTTTCTCTGACTCGTCACTGTCTCTGTTATTCAAAAGTAAAGCAGGCTGTGTCTGCTCGCAGTGAGCTCCCCATCATTGGAAGTGCTCGAGAAGAGACTAGATCACCACCTGGCAGGGACGGTGTACGCTCGGCCAAGACTTTGGACCTCCCTTCCAGCTCCCACGGCTCTCATGATAACAGGAGATAGTTGGTGCTAGCTCCCAAGTCCTACCACTGTCCTGAGTGTATATGCCGTATGGATGTGTGTGAGAGATAGAGACAGAGAGACAGGGAGACAGGGACAGACAGACACAGAGACAGAGACAGACAGAGAGACAGGGAGACCCTCACAGAGACAGAGACAGCGAGAGGGAAAGAGACAGCGAGACAGAGACCCCTCCCTCATCCTTTTCCAGTCTTCTTACACCTTTCTCCCTACTATGTACCCTTCGATCCAGGGACACCGCCCTGTTGGCTGTTCCACAAACAAGACCCGCCGTTAATTGGCTTTGGGCAATCCGTCTGGTTGTTCCCCCTGCCTGGAATGTTTTCCCTCCTCTGCTCTGATTACTGACCTCTCTGGCTTCCTTTAAGTCTCAATTAAAATCCTACCTACTACAGGACACCTTCCCCAAACCCTCTTTTTCCAGTGCCTTCTCTCTGTTAATTAGTTCCTACTTATCCTGTATAGAGCTTACTTAGAATATATTTTTTGCATGTTGTCTCCTCCATTAGATTGTAAGCTCCTTGAGGGCAAGCATTATCTTTTACTTCTTTTTGTACCCCCACTGCTTAGCATAGTGCCCGGCACATAGCAGGTACTTTATTAATGTTTATTGATTGCTTGATTGACCGAGACAGACAGAGCAGGAGCAGAGAGTGTGTGTATGCATGCGTCTGTGTAGGTAAGGTACGTGTGTATGAGGGCTTTGTAAGGGGTATGTGGTCAGGAAGAGAGGGAAGAAACAAGCAGGTATTAAACACTCACCATGTGCCAGGCACTGTGATACAAGTTAGGGATTCAAAAAGAGGCAAAAGACAGTAAGTAAGCTCCCTCAGGGAGCTTACAATCTAGTGGGGGAGAAAACAAATACATACAGACAAGCTATAGATGGGATAAATAAGAACTAATCAACAGAGGGCAGGCCCTGGAATTAAGAGGGGTTGAGGAAGGCTTCCCGTAGAAGGTGGAAATTCAGTTGGGATTTAAAGGAAGTCAGAGAGGTCAGTAGTAAGAGAGGAGGAGAGAGAGCAGTCCAGGCAGTAGCCAACATCAGACAGTCCCTCACAAGTGACCCCACCTGGGGAGTGACCAGAAATGCCTAGTTCCATGATGCGGGGCTTGAGGTTGGCCCTCTGTGAATCCTGGGGAGAGGTTGGCTAGTGATACCTCACGGACTCACAGGGTTAGAAAGAAATGTTTGTTGTATGAATGAATGACTTGGTCCAGAGGCCTGTTGGATTCTTGTTCAAGTTATTCCGTTGACCCTCCGCCCCCTGTGCCTTCTTCAAGGTTCTTAATGTGCATGGGTACCAGCAGTGCTTCCACTACCCACGCTACCTAGCTCTTTTTCTGGCAAACTGTTTCCTCCATGACCCCCTTGAAGGCACTTCTTGATACATTCTCATGGGAAAAAGGCAGCAGCTTAGTCTGTTCCTCTCTGAAATCTCTCCATCACCCTTTGGACCACCTGTCATGGTGACTCTTTGGGCATTGGGATGTTTCCAAGTTTTCTAGTCATCTAGCATTAGTTTGTGAAAAAGGAAAGAAAGAGAGACAGGGAAGTAGGAAGAAAGACAGGGAGAGGGGAGGAGGAAGGAAAGGAAAGAAATGAAAGGAGGGAGGGAGAAGAGAGAGGTAGGAAAGAAGGAAGAAAAAGAAGAGAGGAAAGGACAGAGGGAAGGGAAGGAGGGAGGGAAGGAAGAGAGGAGGGAGGGAAGGAAGAGGGACAGGAGGGAAGGGAGGAAGGAAGGAAGATGTTTCTTTTGTACCTGGGAAGCAGCCTGGGGTTATAGGGACGATTTATATTCTTAACAAAAATATGAGAATGGACCCACCAGGTAGGCTTTTGCAAGCAATTCTGTGCAGCAGACAACATCTTGTCACACAAGGTCCTGGCAGGTGCTTTGGATACAAGATCCCTCTGTTTTTCCCATTTGTTTCTTTTTTTTAAAGGCTCATCCTTTGAGCAGGTTGAGCAGAGGCAACCTGGAAGTGGTTCTGTCTGTCAGTCAGTCAGTCAGTCCAGACACAACACATGTTCTTAAGTGCTGGCTGTGTATGGCTGGCACGAGGTGAGATGTTGGAGGTCAAGTCCAAAAGAGGGAAACGATGCCACTTGTGTTCCAGTGAGGGATGGAGCAGGCTGCACATGTCAGTAAGTACAGGAGAATAGAGAGTGAATGAATACAAATACATACCAAGTACTTACACTCGAGATACTTTGAGGAGAGTGCCAGCAATTGGGAGAGGACCATGGAAGGCTCCATGTAGAAAATGGCATCTGATCCAAATCTTAAAAACTAAGAATGCAGAGGTAAGGAGGGAGGGCATTCCTGGCATGGCTGATGACTGCAAAGGCCTGGTGATGGGAGATGGACGGTTACGTATGAGGACCAAAGAGAAGGCCTGGTAGGTGGAGTCCCAGAATGTGGGGGAGGGAATCTCTTATGCTCAATCTATGTTAAGGTCATACAATTTTCCTTGATAAATAACAGCCACGGAGAGGAGTCTGGTTAATGACCCTGTAATCGGGGCTGCTCAGTGAGTCACAAAGCAGGATGGATGCTGGACCCAGGTGTATGAGGCTGTCACGGAGCACGTCCACCATGACAATGTCCTGTGTGGAAGAGGGTGAGGTCCTCCACGTCCTGCTGGCTTGAGGACCACAATGTGCCTCAGCTTTTCCTGGGCTACCTCCAGGAGATCCATGGTTACTCCAAAGCACTGTCTCCCAATCCCCACACCCCACGCTGGGCAGGCAGTCTACTGGCAGGCACATCAGTGCAGGGGAGTAGACCTGGTCGGGGGCAGGAATCAGCCCGGCCTCTGCCTTGGGGAAGCTGGGTTGTGTGGGGCTACTGAGGCACCAAGGAGACAGCCCTGGCCTCATTCTGCTAAGGAGCTACACAATAGGGACCCAGACAAGTAGAACACAAGATAAACGTGTGCGGTGTGAGGAAGCTTGGATTCTGTGTGCATGCACGCTTGGGTCTATGTGTGTAGGAGTATGTATGTACCTGGGTATGATGTGAACAAATGTGTGTGCCCATATGTATGTGAGTATGAGTGTGCTCAGGCCAGAGGGGTACAATTCAGCATGGTCGGTCCTCAGGTGGGGAAGGGGCGGGTCTGAAAGGGCGGGGCTCAGTTGTTAGGGGGAGGAAGCCAGCCCCCTCCCCCCGCCCCAAGCTGGACAGCCAAGGGGTAAGGGAGGGCCATTGGAAGGTGAGAGGGGCTGGTCTGAGGCAGGAGGAGAAGGTGACAAATTGAGGACCTCTCAAATCCTGGGGCGCAGGGGAAGGGGGATCTGGATGGGGAGGCACAGGGGGAGGGGCAAAGCCTCAGGTGGGCGGGTCGCGGGAGGGGGGAACTCAGTTGGAGGCGGGGAGGGAACGAAAGGGCTTGGGGTCCCACTTGTGAAGAGGAGGGGCGGGCGAGGTTTGGGGGCGTGGGGAGGGGCGAGGTCTCTTCTGCCGGCTGGGAGAGGGAGGGAACGGAGAGGGGGAGGAGAGAGAGAGAGAGAGAGAGAGAGAGAGAGAGAGAGAGAGACACACACACACACACACACACTCGGAGAGGGAGAGAGGGAGAGACAGAGAGAGAGGGAGAGAGAGAGAGCAGGCGGCAGGAGAGAGGGAGCGGGGAAGGAAGGAAGGAAGGAAGGAAGGAAGCGAGGAGGAGGAGGAGGCGAGGAGGAAGGAGAGGGAGGCGGCAGCGGCAGCGGCGGCGGCTGGAGGAGGAGGTGGAGAAGGAGGAGGAATCCCGAAGCCTCGGCCAAGCCTGCCAGCCACGAGGGGGGCGGGGAAGGGGGGAGCCCGGAGCCCGGAGCTCGGAGCCCGGAGCCCACCCGGAGACAGACGAGGGGGCGGCCCGAGGAGGGAGGGGGCGTTCTGCGGATGCCCAGGGCCCGGCCCGGCCCGAGGGGGGGGTGAGGTCCCCGGCCCTCCCCTCCCCCCTCCCCCCCTCCGGGGTGCTAGGGCATGGCCTGAGGGGGGGTCTCTGTCTTCGGGGGGGGGGGGGGGGGGGGGGGGGGGGGGACAGGGGGCCGCGGGCGCCGCCGACTGGGACCCAGCAGCCCCGCCGGTCAGGTAAGGGGGACTGGGGGTGTGGGGGGAGGCCGGGGCTTGGAACATGTGTGAGTGAGGATAGAAGGGATGGGGAGGGTGGGCACCCGGAGCCGTCTTTAGCCGCTGCCTCCCCCATTTGGGGGGAGGGGGAGGGCCTGGGTGAGGGGAACGGTTGCCGTGGGCAACGTTGAATTGGGTTACGCCCCAGTCCCCAGTGCCCTGTCCCAGATCCCGAGCTAAGCGGGGAGGGGGTTGGGGCCCTGAGGGAGGTGGGTCGTCCCCCCTGGTGCCCGTCTCCCCCAAACCTTGGCCTTGCTGCTCCACTCCTACCTCCCTAGCCTCCTGGGTTTGGGTGCTCCTTCTCCAGTACTATCCCCCCCCCTTCCCTGGCCACTCCCCCATCCCCCGTTGTCTCCTGTCCCTGGTGTCCCTCACCTCCCTCATGCCCGGTCCCACCATCTCTTCTAGCTCCTCTGTCCCCCTTGTCCTCTCTGACCCCATCCGTCTTTGTCTTCTCTGGCCCTCCGTCTCTCTCCCCAGCGCCCCCACCCATCTCTCTTGTCCTTTCTCCTGATTGCCTGTCACCCCATCTCTCTTGTCTTCCCTCTTTTTTCCCCCGTCCCCTTTGTTCTCTCTCCTGCCCATTTCCCCTTCTCTTCCTCGTTATCTCTCATCTCTTCTGTCCCATGTTTCCAGTCCCTTATCCCAGGCCACCCCAGAAGCCCTCACCTCATGCTCACTCTGGCCGTGGCACCCCTCCCCTCCTCTCTGTGAGGCCTGGGCCTCCATGCCCTTCCTCTTCATCCTCAGTGAGGCCCCTTCTCCGAGCCTCCTCTCAGGCTCTCGTAAGAGCCCCCCTGTCTCCCCACTATTTTTTGCCTCATCTCTCCTCCGGCACCTTCCTCATTCTCTCTTCCTTCTGATTTTCCTCTCTTTCCCATGGATCCCCATGTCTGCTGCCATTGCTTTCCCCCTGCCCCCTTCTCTCCTCCTTCCGGTGCTCCCCCACCATCTCTCACCCCTGTGCCCTATTAATGCCTCAGTCCCCTTCTCCCATTTCCTTCCTTACTCCCACTGCCATCCCGGGTCTTCCTCCCTCATTCAGCTCGTACTATGATACTCTTCCCTTTCCTCTTCCTTCTCTCCTTGCACCCCTCCCCCAAGCCTCTTATTCCCTCCCCCTTTCCCCAGCATCGGCCCAGTCTCCCCTTTTCCACCCTCATTACAACCGGGTTCTCTTATCTCTTTCCCCTCATTACGCCTCTCACCCCCCTCCCCCCCAGTCTCATTCCTTCTCAGTTCCTGGAAAGCCTCCCTTGTCCACCCCCAGGAGTCTCCTCTTTGCCCTTCCTACTTCCTTTTTCTCTTGCCTGGCCCCCATTCCCTACCACTTCCCCCTTCTCTCCCCCACCTCAGTCCAGTCTCTCCCTGTCCTCCCCCAGGAGCACCCTGTCTCCTCTTCCCTTCCTTCTCTTCTCTGCATTTCTCCCCATCTCAAGCATACTCACTTCCCCTTTTCTTTCTCCCTCAGCTTGGCCCTGCCCAGTGTCCCCTTGGCCACCCCTCACCCCATACCCCCTGTTTCCCCTTTTCCTTTCCCCCACCCCCCAGGGCTGCCATCCTCAGCCTGTCTCCTCACCAGCTGCGTTCTAGCTATTCTTAGCTACCGGCGCGCTTGATTCATGCCGCCCCGGCGATGTGTGCCAGCTCCCGCCCTCAGCCCAGGGCTGGGGGGGAAGGGGGGAGCCAGTGTTTGTCCAGGCCTGGGGGTGGGGGGCTCTGGTGCTAGCCTTGGGAGGTAAGGCGGCAGATCTGCAGGCAGATGGAGCCAAGTATCAGCTCTATTGCTCTGGGTGGTTTTGGTGGGGGGTGATAAGCTGAGTCTTTGGAAACCCCACTCCCCCCAATTCCATCAGGGCTGAGGTCAACTGGAACATTGGGTTGGGGATCATGTGACTAGATGCCAAATCTTGAGGGGAACAGGAGCTGGGAGGAGTGGGGAGTTGCCTGGGTTCTTGTGGGAAAAATGCTTCCAACACAATTTGTCCTCCCCTCACCCCCCTCCCAAAGTCAGCTGGGCCTTGGCTGCTTTGGATTGCCATGGAAACCCAGGAGCCTGGCCTTCCTTGGGATGGGGGTGGGGGGCGGGACAAAACCATGCAGTTTTGTTTCTAGGGCTGAGGGGAAGGGGCTAGACAAGGGGGTGGTCTTAAGCCGATTCCTGTTTCCACCTCAGGACCACCTCCTCACACAGTGTCAGTTGAGAAGGAGGAAAAGGGGGAGAGGAGAGAGACAGGGAGTGAGAAGAGGAAGGGGGGATAGAGACAGAGGGAGGAAGGGGCAGAGGGAGGAAGGGACGAGGGAGAGAGAAAGAGAGAGAGAGAGAGAGAGAGAGAGAGAGATCAGGTCCCCTCACTTCATTCACTATCAGCACCACTCCCACTCTGTATCTGCTAAGTCTACCCCTATCCCTACATTCCCAGTATCTCTGTCCTAATTGACCCTTCAAGCAGTTACCATAACCCTTGCCGCCATCCCACCGGCACCAGCACGAGCACCAATGCATCAGTCCTCCTAGGTGCCACACCCACCTCATCTCCATAGAAGGCCTTGTTCCCCTCCACCCACCCTCACATCTCCACCCAGATCTCTCTGGTTGCCCCAGCACACCTCCACAATGTTCTGCCCCACCATGTTCCCATGCACCACATTTTCCTCTGGGGACAGTTAGCTAGGCAACACCCTTTGAGGTATCTTGTCCAGCTGCACACGTACTCACAGAGTCACCCCAACTCCCAAAGCTGCTGTCCAGCCTGCCCTTCCCTTCTCAGCCCAGTGATCCCAGGCCTCCCCCTTCTTCCAGGTGCTGGGCCAGGGTGAGGAGCAGGGTCAGGGCAGGAGGGCAGGCTACCTGTCGGGCCATTCATGCTCCCGTGCCTAATTTTAGCAGCATTTTCGGTGGCTTGGCAAAGTGGGCCAGTAGCTCCCGCGGTGATTCCTCGGTTTCTGGGACACGGCTACGCTGGGTCAGCGGCAAAGTGGGGCGGATGGGAGGGGGGAGCCAAGGACAAGGGCAAGGAGACAGCCTGGGCTGCGTGCGTGTAGGGGACTCGTGTGGGGGCCGCGTCTGGAGGGGACGAAGGGCAGTGACCACCTTGGTACCTGGGCAGCTGCTGGGTATCAAAGCCGGATGTGCCCCTCCACGTGCCCCCCATCCGGTGTGGGGACAAGGCCCCCAGCCGCATGGGAACCTGTTGTTTCCCCCCTTCGCCGGTGTCCCGGTCCTGTGTCCAGCAGAACAGGAGGGAGGGGCAGAGGAGAAGGCCCGTCCGGGGATGTACAGAGCTTGAAGGTCCATGGGCCCCGCTGAGCTCTTCCCCGCTCCGAGCTTCCTGCCCAAGCCTGCCTGCTGTCTATTCCAGCCGCCTGTGATGCTGCGGCTCCCTGTGGCCCCGCGGCCCCACGATGCCCCGAAGCCCCGTGTCCAGCGAGGAGGAGCGGCGCAGTGTCAGCGAGTACCCCGAAGGGGGCTCCGAGTCCGACAGCTCCCGGGACGGCCCGGGGAGGGGACCCGAAGGGGCGCGGGGCCGGGCTGGGGGGGCCGGCATTAGCCTGGCCTCTGCCCGCCGCCTGCAGGGCCGCTCCATGTCGGTACCCGACGACGCCCACTTCAGTATGATGGTATTCCGGATTGGGATCCCAGACCTGCATCAGACTGTGAGTGGGGAGGGTCTAGATCGGACTGGGACGCACCGAGTCGGGCGGATGTGGGAAGCAAGGCATGTCGGGAACAGGAGAGAAGGCCAGACCTCTGAGGTCCTCCCGGCTCCAGATCCCATGGCCAGGGGAGACTGACTGCGGGGGCGGGGGGGAGATCCCCAAGAGAGGCAGAGGGACGGGCGCTCTGCAGCGGCTGGCCTTCCCTCGGAAAGGCCCACCGCTCTCCTGAGCCTCGGCACACTCTCGTCCCTACCCCAGAAATGTCTGCGGTTCAATCCGGATGCCACCATCTGGGCTGCCAAGCAGCAAGTCCTGTGTGCCCTGAGCGAAAGCCTCCAGGATGTGCTTAACTATGGGCTGTTCCAGCCAGCATCCTCCGGCCGGGATGCCAACTTCCTGGAGGAGGAAAGGCTGCTTCGAGAATACCCCCAGTCCTTTGAGAAGGGCGTACCCTACCTCGAGGTAAGCGGCGCCCCGGTCTTGGTCTGCCCAGCTCTCTCCCCCCATACCCTCCTCCCAAGGCACACCCTCTAATTGAGGCACGTCTTCCAATGACTTTCTGGCAGGTGGTGCTCCGGAAATTGTTGGACTCTAGAGCTAGGTTGCACAGCAGTTAGAGCAGTAGAGCGCCAGGCCTGGAGATGGAGCAATGTCCTTGTATTAGAGATGAGGGAACTGGAGGGGAGGGGTCAGGAGCCTTGTTCAAGGTCAGAGAAGCAAGAAGCGGCACCGACTTTTCGACCACAGAGCCATGGCTCTCTCCCCATTCCCCGCTGTCCTTGGGGCAGTTGGAGAATGCTCGTTTCCAGCTTTGGTGGGATTAGATTGATCCCTTAGTCCCTCTGGGCCTCAGTCTCCTTCTCTGTAAATGTAAAAAGAGAAATTGAAATGGGTGGTCCCTCTGGCCACTTCCAGCTGGCACACAGGCCACCCCCAGTCCCCTGGCCCCAGTAGAAGGCTCCTGTGGCCTTTCCCCAAAGGTTCTCCTTACCAGGTAACAATCTGCTGCCTGTATACCATTCCAGTTACCCCTTGTGGCCATGACCCCAGCTTCCCCAGGACAATAGTGTACTGTCTGACTGCTGGCCCCTGGTGTCCCAGAACACTTCATGCTCTCTCTGAGACTTCATTTTCAAGGATCCCCTGACCCCTGTGTCTGTCATGGAAAGACACTCAGGGTTATCTCTCTCCCCCTTTTTCACTCTGGGAATCCACATCTCCATTCCTCTTTACCTGACATTCATTGTTAGCCTGTCCCCTTTGCTCAGCATGAGTTGCGGGCAGGGCCAGGGGGCTGAGGGGTACTTCCCTTCCCATCCCCCCATTCCCTCCTTGTCCCCCAGTCTTGGGCTTCCTCCCTAGCTTGCTGTCTCCCTGACTCTGTCTCATGTCTCTCTCTCTCTAATGTCACTTCCCATTCTGCCTCAGTTCCGATACAAGACCCGGGTTTACAAACAGACCAATCTGGATGAGAAGCAGCTAGCAAAACTCCATACCAAGGTGAAAGAAAGGAACTCTGTCTCCATCGTCTGCTTCCATCCCTGTGATGCCTCCAGCCATCCTCCCACATTCCCCCCTCATCTTCCCCTCTCCATGTGTGAGCCTCAGAATTTCCCCCAGGACTCCCCAAGTTCTTCTAATCGATTGCATGGGCTTGTGTCTAGTGCTTGACAAACTTAAAAGCACTATAGATCTGTGAGCTATAATTCTATTCTGGGACTCTACAGTCCCTTCCTGCCTCCCTGCATGCCCCTGGCATCCTTCTCCTCTACATTCCCCACTGTGGCTGCTGTATTTTTTACTTCACTAACCATATCCTCTGCCCCATGATTGCCAACACCCTCCATGCCCATTCCACTTTCTCATGAACCCCCATGTCCTTCCTCCTGCAATTCCTTATCTACCTACCTATCTGCCTATCTACCTATCTGCTTTTCTATCTGCCTGTCTATCTCTCTCTCTCTCTCTCTCTATCTGTCTGTTCCTTTATATATCCTATTTCTCTTACATTGCAAGAGGCTGGGATGGGGTTGGGGAGGAGGGTAACAGCTGTGGGTCCCATTTCAATTCCTCAAGTATAAGCTCCTTGAGGGCAAGGGATATTTTATTCTTGTCTTTGTATCCCCAGCTCCTAGGACAGTATCTTGCATATAGTGGGTGCTTAATAAATTCTTGTTGAGTTATTGAATTGAGTTGACTGGCTGCCATATCCTTCTGTGGCCCCACCATGTTCCTTTCTCATCTCATGGTTCCTCCAAGAATCCTCTGTTGACCCCTCACAGGCCTCTTTTTTGACCCCCTACTTCTTATCCTGGAACACTTCATTCCTGTCTCTTATCCTTATCCCCAATCATTCCCCATTTCATCTCCCTAAGCTTCTCCTCTCTGAGAGGGACAGGCCTGGGGATACCTGAGTCCACAAGAGAAGAGAAGTAGAGGATGTCTGGCATTGGGAGAGCCTATGTCTCCTACCATCCTCCATCCTTTCCTCTGCACATCATCCCCTACTCTTCCATGGCCCTAAGTGTGTTCTTTTTGTGTGTGTGTGTGTGTGTGTGTGTGTGTGCGTGTCCTGACCTAGACTGGGTTGAAGAAGTTTCTGGAGTATGTACAGCTTGGCACATCTGACAAGGTGGCAAGACTGTTGGACAAGGGGCTGGACCCCAATTATCATGACTCTGACTCAGGAGGTATGATCTCTAGGGTGCTGGGGATTAGAGGGCTGGTGGCTGGGTGACTAGGGGCTTGGGGGCTGGGAATCTGAGATGAACAATTGGAAGATTCCGAGGTTCATGCCAGGAGGTGAGGGTCCAGCCCCGGAGGATTGGGAATGTATTAAAAGACTAAAGGGATTCAGAATGTAGAGGACAAGGGGGTCCTGGGGATTGAGGTGAGGGGGTCCTGAGAGGTTAAGGGGAGCTATTGGATTGGTAGGTTGGAGTTTGAAGTTTGGGGAGACTACAGGTGGTGAAAGCTTATAGGCTAAGGTGTTAGGAGGCAAGACATTTCTGAGGATCTAGGAGCTTAGGGATTCTGGGAGCTGGGGAGCAGAGGACTGAGGTACTGGGGTTCTGGGGATCAAGGGACTGGGTTTGAGGGGCCCAAATGACTGGAGGGTTTGAGGTATATAAGATAAAATTTAGGGGAGGAAATGATATCAATCATTAAATGTTTGAAAGGCAGTTTTGGGGGTGAAGCTGTGCTCGGTAGCCCCAGAGGCAAAGGTAAGAGCACTGAGTGATGGTTACAGAGGGAGATGAGTCTGACAATGAAAAGGGATGGTGGCAGGGGGGTGGCCCCTCCCAGGAGGGTTTCAAGTGGAGGTCGGCTGACCACTCCTTAGAGGTTATAGAGAGGACTCCTGCTGTGGTGGGTTAGACTTGGGGTCCCTTCTAATTTGAATGTTCTGTGATTCTGGGTTTGGGGGACTGAGGGAAGAGGTGAAAGGTTATAGGGGCTACAGGCTCAGGAGGTCTGAGGATGTGGAGGAAATGGAGAATTCTGGGAGATTAAGGGACTAAAGGACATGGAGATTTGGTGGTTTGGCACAAGTTGGAGAACTGGGCCATTCCTGAGATCTGGGGGACTGGAAGACTGGGGACCAGGGGTTCATGAATTGGGGGTCAGGAGCTGGAGGCAGGAGGTTAAAGAGATCAGGGAACCAAGTGGGCTATGGGCTCAGGTGACTCTGAGGTGAAGAAAATGGGGGAAGAGGGGCCAGACTGGAGGACATAAGAACACCCCTAACCCTTCCTCAGAGACTCCTCTGACGCTGGCAGCCCAGATCGAGGGCTCAGTGGATGTGATCCGCACACTGTGCTTGGGTGGAGCCCACATTGACTTCCGGGCTCGAGATGGGATGACGGCGCTGCATAAGGCTGTATGTGCCCGGCACTGCATGGCCCTCACGGTGAGACACCCCATTCCACACAAGTAGGCCTCCAGAAATACTAATTCTTCCCCAAACATAGCCCATTCAGACTCCCTAGATATTCCCCTGAGACCCTTTCGGAACGTCATTCTGGAAAGACTCCTTCAACAAAGACCCCTCCAATAGAAACCTCAAGGACCCCCAAAGAACTCTCCCAAAGAGAGACTACCCACAAAGATTCCCCAGAGACCCTTCAGAGACTTCAGAGAGAGATGCTCCAACAGAGATCTTTGCAAGTTCTTTGGAGATCTCTCCAGAGAAGCTCTGAAATATCTGTTCTTCACTCCCCTTCCAAAGGAAGCAGCAAATTAACAAAGACCCCAGAGATCTCCTAATGAAGCCCCTCCACAGTCTCCTCAGAGGTCCCCCCAAAGGGAGGCCTCTCAGAGGACTACTAAAATACCCCCACACAAGGTATGTCAACCCACCACCCCTCTTAGACAGTCCCATGGGGGCTCTGCATTGCCCCTGGGATGCCCGCTCCTTCCCGCCGCCTTGCTGCTACTGCTGCACAGACTCAAAAAGCAGTCATCCAGTCTTAACCATTTAATGGTCCCTGAGCTTCCTGACTCCTCTCAGGGCAGCCCCTTCCCTCCTGGGCAGCTCGCCTTTCCAGGAGGTTCCACAGCCTTGACATCAGACTGTCAGCTGCTTTCATCGTCCCTCCTCCTGCCCCTGGTCCTGCCCCCGGGGCCAATCAGAACCAGGCTAATTCCTCTTCCTGGAGCTGGCCCTTTGAATCTCTGTCCATCCTGAGAGTGTTCTTCTCCCGTGAGATGCTCCAAACCCTTTCGGATGAGCCTCGTGCGGCGTGACCCCCTCCCGGCCACCCTCCTCTCTCAATGCAGCTACCTCACATGTGGTGGGCTTTAAAACTGAACCTGAAACTCCAGTGGCCTGGCTCAGAGGACACAAGCCCAAATGCTGCCCCAGGCCTCTTCATGCCTCCTAAGGGCTCCTCAGCCTCCAGATGGACTCAGGCTGACCTGGGGTCTGCTGGACCTTCCTATCTTCCCATTTCCCACTTCTATGGCTGAACACTCAGACTGTCCTCCCACACCTCCCTTCCCCCGGAGCCTCTCAATATCTAGATATGCCCTCTCCCAGCTCCTCTTCCCTGAAATGGTCCTCCTCACTTCCTCAGAGAAAGGCGGCACTCTTCCACCCCTTGAAGCACAGCACAAATATTTAGTGCAGCAGAAAGAACACTAAAGACCATTTGGAGAGAAGGGTTCAAGTCACTCATTATTTGATGACCTTGAACAAGTCTCTTGTCCTCTTTGGAGTTCCATTTCCTCTTCTCTAAAATGAAAGGATTGGATTAGATACTGTCTAAGGTCTCCTTCTCATCTTGGGCTGTAGTGAGTGCATCCCAGGGGGCAGGCTCTGGTCCCCCTTTCTCTCCCCTCGACTTCACCCTTTGCCCTCCATTTTATTCCTTATGCTGCCTCTTGGGATCAAACACAGAACTGTAGAATTGCGAGACCCTGAGGCTAGGAATTTTGGAGCTGAGTGGAGCCTTGGAGCAGAGCGGAACTGGGAGGGCACTCCAAGCAAAGAGTGGGATGGAAACAGGCTGGGATGGAGCTTAGAACACAGATGGTCAGAGTTTAGAGATGCCTTAGGAGACCCAGTATGATGACGATAGAGCTGGAGTGGGCCAAAGAGACCCTCTAGTCTGACACTTGTTTTGAAGAATAAAAAACTGGGGCAGCTAGGTGGTGCAGTAGATAGAGCGCCGGCCCTGGGTTCAGGAGGACCTGAGTTCAAATCCAGCCTCAGACACATAATAACACTTACTAGCTGTGTGACCCTGGGCAAGTCACTTAACCCCATTGCCTAGCCCCCCCCCAAAAAAAAGAAGAATAAAAAACTGAGGCAGAGAGAGGGAAAGTGACCTTTCAAGGTCGTATAGGACACTCTGGCCAAATCGGGAATAGTATCCAGGTGTCCCTCAAGCCAACAAGCATTTATTAAGCATTTAAGGTATAGGCTCTGCCAAGTTCTGGGGAAACCAACATAGAATCATCTAGGTCCACACATAAGTACAGCCCAGTGTACCAGTGCCTGGTTCACAAACTCCTGAGTACTATTGGGAGCTGAAGACAGGAGATCACTTTTGGCTTCCTACAGGAGGTAGCTCCTGAGATGTACCTGGAAGGGTGGGTTAGATTTTCAGTAAGTGGACATGTGGCAGAAGGTCTTGGCAGAATTGTAGAATGTCTTATTTAAAAGATAGTCAGTGAGTGCTTTGAAAGATATGCGTTGATCACAGCCCGCATGCCTTCATCAAGACAGGGTCGAAGCAAGTGAATCTCATTTCTTTCTCTGACAGGGCTACTAGCCTGCTAGGTCAGGGGCATGCGGTAGGTACCAGAGCTAGCAAAGCATTTGATAAAACCTCTCCTGCTACTTTTGTAAAAAGAATGGAGAGACATGGGCAAGCCCATCGTACAGTCACACGGCATTGGAATTGTTTGCATGGCTGGACCCAGAGTGTGGTCAGTAATTTGCTATCATCTTGGCAGGAAGCCTCTTCCAATAGAGAGTTCCAGGCATCTGAGCTGCTTAACATTTTAACAATGGCTTGGATGGAAACATGAATGACATGCTTATCAGAATTGCAGATGGCAAAAAGCTGGGAGGGGTAGCTAACACATTGGAAGACAAAGTCTTCTTTAAAAAGATCTTGCCTCATTTGAATAAGATAAGCTTTAATAGAGATCAATATAAAGTCTTACACTTTGGTTCAAAAAATAAACTTCTTTAGTAAAAGAGGGAAGAGGTTTGGCAATGCAGCAGTTCATCTGACAAAGGTCTGGGAGTTTTAGTGAACGGAGGTTTTGGCTAGAGTGTCATCCCAGTGACACAAAACCAAGCCCACCAGGCTACATTCAGAAAGACAGAATGTGTCCAGGACTCTCAGAGGTGACAGCCCCCATACTCTGGTCTGGTCATATCCCATCTATAGGATTGTGCTCCATTCTGGACATCATGTTTTAGGAAAGATGTGGATAAACTGGGACATCATCAGCATGACCACTGTGATGGTTACAGGCTTTGAGGTCATGCTTTGTCTGGGTCAGTTGAAGGAGTCAGGGATGCTTAGAGTGGAACAGAGAAGACCTGAAGAGGACATGACAGTTGTCTTCAAGTATCTGAAGGACTGGCATTGGGAAGAGGGTTTAGATTTGCTTTGCTTGAGCCCAGAGGGCAGAATCCAGGAACATGGAAAGAAATCTCTGCTTCATGTCAGGACACACTTTCTAATTATTAGAGCAACGAAAGAGAGAAAGGGCTGTCTCCCAAAGTCATATGTTCCTCCTCCCTTGAGATCCTTAAAGCTGTCAACAGGCTGCAATGATGGGCTGAATGAAATGAACAGATCAATGTAAATTACTGCCTACACTTGGGCTCAAAAAATCAACTTCATGAGTGGAAGGTGTGGGCTGAATTTAATAAGATGACATTTAATAGAAATGGAAAAGCCTACATTTGTTTTAAGTCATCTGCACAAGTACAGGATGGGGGATTTGTGGCTAGATAAGAGTTTATGAGAAAAAGACCTGGGGGCTTCTCGGGGGGCTGGAGCTCACTGCCAATCATCAATTCAATATGGCAGCCAAAAAGCCTAACCAAGCCTTAGGCTGTGTAAAGAGAACGCTGGTATCTGGAGTGAGGGAGGTGATAGTCCCACTAGATTTTGCCCTTCTCAGACCCCACATGGAGAACTGTGTCCAGTTCAGGGTGCCATGTTTTAGACAGGACATGGACAAACTGGTATTGCACTCAGAAGGAGACAGGAAGGTGAGAGAACTAGAGACCATGCCTTGGGAGGGTCAGCTTAGAGATGAGAAGTCTTAGTTAGGGGACAGGTGGGAGCTACTTTCAAATATCTGAAGGGCTGGGTTACACCTGACCCCAAGGTCCTCAGAATGACGAGAGGGACATTGCATCAGGATGCCAAGAAAAACTTCCTAACAACTGTCCATAAGCTGTCCATAAGTGGTATGGGCTGCCTTGAGAAAGATGTCTTTTAAAATTTTTATTAATTTTATTTTTTCAATGAACAAGGATTTATTTTCTCTCCCTCCCAGCTGCGGTGGAAGGAGTTTCCTCACCAGAGAGCTTCCTAGACTAGCGAGATAACAAGTCTGGCCTGGGCCAGATGACCTTTGAGGTCCCTTTAGCTTTAGAAAATAAGATGCTCAGGATTGGAACCCAGCTCTTCTGACTCTAATTCTGTTGTTCTTTCGGCTAAACTAGCCCAAAACCAACCGTATCGTTTTAGTGATGAGGAAACAAGGGAGGGCTGACTGCTTCAGGGGATGAAGGAAAGGGAAATGGTTTGGGTCCAAAGATCAAAGGTACATCAATCCAATGTAGACAAATCAGGATGAAGAAATGGACCCTGAGAGGGTCAGTCCCAGCTCAGCCCAACCTTCACTCTGTGCCCACTGACCCTTCCCCTCCCTGTTCCCAGGCTGAGCCCAGGACACAGCCAGGACTAGAATCGTATCTTTGTGGTCATACGGTCCAACACTCACTTTTTACAGACGGAGAAGCTGGGACCAGTGAGGGGCATGGATCCCAAGAGTCAGAGCTGAAAAGGATTTTAGAGATCAAATACCAATACCCACCCCCATTTTACAGAAGAGGAAACTGAGGCCCATAGCAGTGAAATGACTCTGCTACGGTTATACAAGTAGTCAGCATTCTAATGCAGAACTTCCAGCTCCCAAACCCTGGCTCTTTCCAGCATGCTACCATTGCTTCCTCTGCTCCAGGCCACTTTAGACAGGACCCACTCCAGTCTGCTCACCTGCCGAGGGCAGAGCCACAGTTGGAACCTGAGTGCCGGGAATCCCAACCTCGTCCTACCATGCCAGTGCAATCCCGCCCCCTCGCCTCGGCTCCCTCCCCTGTCTCTTCTGAGAGAGAGGCAAGGGTTTGCATTAACCTGCGACCTCCTTTCTATCTTTTGCCTCCCTTCCAGGCTCTGCTGGACCTCGGGGGATCCCCCAACTATAAGGACCGCCGGGGGCTGACTCCCTTGTTCCACACGGCCATGGTGGGCGGAGACCCTCGATGCTGCGAGCTCCTGCTCTATAATCGCGCCCAGCTAGGCGTCGCTGATGAGAATGGCTGGCAGGAGATCCACCAGGTCTCTGGGATCCAGGGCTCCTTGGGGCGGGGCAGAGACTGGGGAGAAAGCCGAAGTGTGGGATAGACATGCAGGAGCACTGACGGTGCGAGGTTGGGTTTCTGAAGATGAGAGAGGATGGAGGATGCTTGTGTATGCCTGGAGGATTAGGACCAGGGCGGAGTGTATGCCCAAATCCTGAGGTTGGGGGGGGGCCTGGGCTGTGTGTAGCTGTCGGGGTTTTGGGGACCCTTGGAATGGAGTGAACAGGGAGTGGATGCCTGGGAACCTGAGCGGGGCGAGGGTCTGGAAGGGAGTTTCTGAAAGGACTTCCCTCACTTCTGCTCCCTTTCCCTGATGCCCCACTCAGGCCTGCCAGAGGGGTAACTCCCAACACCTGGAACACCTGCTGTTTTACGGGGCCGAGCCAGGTGCCCAGAACGCGTCGGGGAACACGGCCTTGCACATCTGTGCTCTCTACAACAAGGTCGGTCTTTACAGGGACCTCTCCAGCTCCCGCTCTGCTCCTCCCTGGCCACCCCACACACCACCTTGCCTTTTGCCCCAGCCCCTCTCTCTGGGTCTTCCCCTGCGCCACCTGCAACAATCCACCCTCCACCCACAGCCTGGAAGCATGTGTGCTCTCAGCCTCTGCTGTGTACTCTGGGGGGATGGCAGACGTCTGCTTCGGCGCTTGTCCACAAGTTTGCAAGAGAGTGAGGAGATGAGGGCTGTGCTCAGTAAAAGGCTGTAGGTGTTGGGGGAATATTAACAACTCACAGAACGAGAGGAGTCAGAGCTGGAAGGGCCCTTCAGGCATGCAACAGCAGAGTTGTCGGAAGGGGCTCTTTGAGCTCCTTCCTCATGTTACATTTGAGGAAACTGAGGCTTAGTGTGGGCCAGGGACTTCCCAGACGCCCCACAGCAATATCCCTGGTCCTGCTGGTGGTCAGGCTTCTTGGACCCTGGCGGTCTCTGGGATCTGGCTGACGTTTGCTGAGCCTGTCCACGGCCGGCAGAGACCTGGAGCTTTTCTGGTAGGGTCCCAGTAGTAAAGTGGTGGGACTCCTGAGGTCCCCAGGAATCCTCCTCTGCTCTTGCCTCTCCTATCCATCATGACCTTCCACAAACCATCCCAAGGGAATCTGCCATCCCTAGGGAGGCCTGCCTGCTGGGGCAGCAGGTTGGGCTGCATATATGATGAGCCCAGCTCCTGCCTTCCCTACTTAGAAGCATACTCCCACAAGAGCAGACACTTGCAATGACCCAGAATCCTAGAATTTATGAGGTACCAGGGATCTCAGCAGGTATCTAGGCCACCCTGAGAAAAGATCAGCTAGCTTTCGCTTGTACACCTCCAGCGATGGGAAGCTCATCATCTCATCCACTTTGGAGCAGGACATTTTTCCTTCTATCAGCCTGACATCTACCCCTCTGTGAATTGTGCTTCTTGTGCTAGGTCTGTCCTCTGGAGCCAGGCAAAACCATCTCTCCCTTTATCCTCTGGTAATCCTTCCCACTCACCAAGCATGTATCTGTCCTCACCCCCCAAGTCTTCTCATCTTCCCCAGTTCCTTCAAAGTACCCCACAAGAGTACGGTTTTCCATCTCGTCCTCCTCCTGGCCTTTGTCCTCCCATGAGTTCCCTCAGACCTATCAAGATCCTTCCTCTAATGGGTCACAATCCTCCAGATGAGGGTCTGAGCAAAGAAGGAGACAGTGGGTCCATTACCAGCCCCACCTAGTTCCAAACATCATGCTTCTCTTCTTGCTGCCTAAGATCAAGGTCGCTCTACTTGGCCATTTCATTCCAGTCTTGTAGCAGATTGAGCTCATGGTCTACTCAGATCTTTAGGTCTTTTTCACATGAACTATTGTATAGCCAAACATGCCCTGTAGAGACAGCTGTTGGCATAGTGGTTAGGAAGACCTGAATTCAAATAATGCCTCAAATGCTTATTAGCTGGGAAAGTCAACATCTGACTGCCCGAGTTTCCTCATCTGTAAAATGAGGATAATAATGGCAGCTAGCCCTGAGGGTTGTTATGAGAATCAAATGAGATCATATTTCTAAAGTTCTTAGCACAGTGCCTGACACATAGTAGGTGCTCTATAGAGGCTTCCCCCCTTCTCCTTCATCCTATATTTATATTTAACCTCAACGTAGACCTTAAATGTAGTTTTATTAAGTCCATCCCATTGTTCTGTCCTCTTGATGTCTGTTTTGTTCTACATTCTAAGATAAAAAATGAGAGTGCAAGAAAGCCCAGATCAACTCCATCTTTGGGTATTAAAAGAACTAGTGGGTGTGGTTTGGTAGAGCAAGAAACCTACCCAGGTACAGAGAATGTTCCCAGATGGGAAGAGGCCATGGGAGGCAAACTCTCAGCCCTTGAGCTGGCCCTACATCTCCGAGCTTAGCATCCCAGAGGTGATGGGTGAACATCTGCAGAGGGCCAGGTGATCCCAAGAGCCAGGCTGGCTTCATCCACCTGGACCTCATTTCATTTTCTGACAGTGTTTCTAAACCAACAGAGAAATGCCAGATATGATTTACCTGGATTTGAATAAGGCATTCGAGAAAATATCTCATCGTATTCTTGTTGGAAAAGATGGAGAGATGTAGGCTGGGAAGATGAACTTGAAACTGGCTTAATAGCCAGACCCAAAGAGTAATATTAATGGCTCCGTGTGTGCTGGACAGGAAGGCTCCAGTGGAGGACCAGGGCATCTGGGTGAGGCTTGGTGCACATGTTTTCTCCATGGCTTATTTGTGGATGACACATGCACAAGGCTAACATGCTGGATGACAATGCCAGGCCCCATCTTGATGGGGTATGAGCACTGGGCTGAAGCTAATAAGATGAAATTCAAATAAGGCCCTATCCTTGGGTTTGAAACATGAATTTCACTAGCCTTTTGTCTGAAAATCACTGAAAGTTTTAAGTGAACTTCAAGCTGGAGACTTATCATGGGAGGGAGGGAGGAGATAGGGAACAGGCATTAATTAAGCACTTACTACGTGTCAGGCACATTTGATCCTCACAACAACCCTGCAAAGCAGGTGCTATGGTTGTTCTATCCTTTTTCAGTCGTGTTCCACTCTTCATGACTCCATTTGAGATTTTCTTGGCAAAAATAGTGGAGTCATTTGCCATTTCCTTCTCCAGCTCATTTTACAGGTGAAGAAACTGAGGCAAACAGTGAAGTGACTTGCTCAGGGTCATGCAACTACTAAGTATCTGAGGCCAGATTTGAACTCATGAAGATGAGTCTTCCTGACTCCAGGCCCAGTGCTCTACCCACAGAGCCATCTAGCTGCTATCATTATCCTCACTTAAAAAATGAGGAAACCAAGGCAGGCAGAGGTTCAATGACTTGCCCAGGGTCACACAACTAGTGGATGTCAGGACTGCCTGACTCCAAACTCAGCCTGGCTCTATCCACTGGGCCACTAGTGCCATGTGGCAACCCCCAAAGCCCATGTGATCTGAGTTGCATGAACAGGGACTTAACTTTCAGGAGCGGTGAGGCAACAGTCCCACTGCCCTCATCAGACCCACCTCTGGAGTATTGGGCTCAGTCCTTGGGGCTGGGGTACAGGAAGAGTCTTGATTAGCTGGAGAGTGTCCAGAGGACAGCAAGAAGGGCCCTGACATCATGCCATGTGGGGATCTGTCAAGGGAATTTGGAATGTTTAGCCTGGACAAGAGGAGATTCAGGGGGAACAAGGTAGCTGTCTTCCCATATTTGAAGGGCTGTCATGTTGAAGGACAACTGCAATTGTTAAAGCTGACCTGAGAAAAGCAATAAGCCGCAATTGCAAACTTAGTCTTGATGTCGAGAAAATCTTCCTAGCAATCAGAGCTGTCCAAACATGGAATAGCCCCTGTAGGTAGTGAGCTCCCCACACTGGAGCTGGAGACCGAGCAGAGGTTGGGCTGACCACTTGTCTGCTATGTTATGTGGGAGGTGGGGTATGCTGTGGACTGGATGGTGGCTGAAGACTCTTCCTGCCCTAAAAGTCTGTGCTTCTCTGTATCAATGATCTTACCCAGTGTTCCATTAGCGGAAAATCTAATACGCCTTTTACCTATGCTTTCATCCACGACCTTGATGAAGGTGTTGATGAGAATGAGGCCAAGGAGAGGTGCCTGGGGGATTCTGCTGGATGGGTCCAATTCCACATTCCCTGAGCCCACATCTCTCTGTCTTGACCCCAAAGGCATCAGGAAGACTTTGCCCTATGCCTCGCTGCTCTCCGCGTCTCCCCTACAGCGTTCTCCTGACCTGCCAGTCTTTGCATCTTTGCAGAAAACTTTGTCTGGCTTGCCCCACTCTTTACCATCCCGTGGGGACCGACTGCATCCCTCTCTTAGTGTTTCCATCATTTGAGCTTTGAAAATGTTGCCAGGCATTGGCTGTCGAGCTTGTCAGCCTAGAGTCGGAAGAATCAACCTCTTTGCCTTTATGAAAATCTGGATATCGCCAGGCTCCAATCTTAGAGCACAGGATTTAGAGCTGGGAGAGTCCTCAGAGAACCCCCGGTCCAAGTCTCTCATTTTACAGATGAGAGAAGTGGAGAAGAAGCCCAAATCCGCCTCCCTGTGACGTCATCACAGTCCTTCTAGTTCTGCCTTCTTGGGCACCTCTCCCACTCTGTAAGATTCTTCAAAGCCCATTCCAGTGTTACAGAGGAGGAAACTGAGGCATGCAGTGGTGGGCCCCTGGCTCCAGACAAGAGGTGATAGCAGAGTTTAGAAAGGGGAAGGGGCCCCTGTGGTCCAGGGGTCCTTCGAGGAGCTTGGAAACAAAATCATAGATCCTTCAAGCCCTGGGGATCTCAGCATTCATCTTATGTTGTTATTATGATATTATGATGTTATGATGATATTCATCATTAGTCCTGTCTGATTCTTCATGACCCCATTTGGGGTTCTCTTGGCAAAAATACTGGGGTGGTTTGCCATTTCCTTCTCCAACTTGTTTTACAGAGGAGGAAACTGAGACAAACTGGGTGAAGACAGCCACTAAGTTCCCGAGGCTGGATTTGAACTCAGGGAGAGGAATCTTCCTGACCCAGGCCCTGTACTCTGTGCACTATGGGGCGCCCTAGCTGCCTTTCAGCACTCATCTTAGTCTGTAGCCTTTCCCTGAATAGTATGCCTGACCAGTGATCGTAGCCTGATCTTGACGACATTTAACGATGGGGAGCTCTCTTGATCTGAGCCTTGAACGATGCAGGTAGCCATCTCTCCAAAGCCTAGCATTCTCTCTGGGCCTGTCTTGGCCCTCCTGCCCTCTGCTACCGAAGATCCACCTCCATCTTTATGTCCCTTTTATGCATTCTTCCTGTGTACTTCTAGACTTGCCTAAAGGAGGAGGAATTCGGCCACTGTTCAAAATATCCATTGGCTTCCTGCTGCCCTGAGACTGACCAACAGCAGACCCCCGGTTGGGCCTTTCATGGAAGGCCGCTGCCCTGCTTCTCCACCCAGGCGTGCTCATGGGACCCCCTCAGAGAATCAAGCGAAGCCAGGGAGAGAGCTTTGGATGCCTGGAAGTGCTCCATGCAGTGCATCCCTGAAGGCTCATTGAGGTCTTAAGCTACTAAAGATTAAGGCTGCACCAAGACTTTGGGGGCACCCTGTCTATATGAACTAGTATTATTATTATTATTATCCTTCAAGGTTCAGTTTGGATACTGCCTCCTCCAAGAAGCCAGCCTCGGTGACCTCATCAGGAAGTGGTCTTTTGGCACTTTATAATTCCTATTATAAACCTATATTCATTTTGATGTCACATCACTTTTTGCATCCTCAAAAGGTTGGCCACCAAGTGGCCACAGCCACTCATTAGACTATGCAGTGGGTGAGTAAAGGGTGAACTCTGCGTCACCACCTCTATGACCCTCTGGGCCTTTTGAAACCTGCATTCTGTACATGTTCGCCAGGTCTCACTGGGTGCTTCAGCATGGCACAGAGCTCAGACTCTGCCAGGCTAAAAAAGCTTCACCTGTGGCCAGGGCTGGTGTTGAGGATGGCCCAGTTCAAGGCAAGAGCCTCAGTCTCACGAATGTGGCCTCAGCCACTCACGAAAATTATCTCCTCTGGCCCAGAGAGGCTGGGATTTGTGTTGGACTTGACTGTGCTGTCCTGTCATCAGCTCTTCCTGTACTGACTTTGGGATTCTCCTGCCCTCAGTGAAGGGCCATCATGAGTTGTTGTATCTGACAAATCCCTCTCTGTGCAGCCGAGCCCGTGAGGAGCCCTCTGACCTTAGCCAGGCTGGGCCCTGGAGCAGCCAGCAGAGCATCTGAGGGCCCAGGGCGACACACAGGCCTTGGTGAGGGAGCTGAGCAGGACTTTCATGGATAGTATCCACCCTCAGGCCACACCGAGGCGTCAATCAGTGCAGTGCCATTTTTCTGTGTCTATACTTAAAGACTTTAAGTCTATTGTCTGGGGACCCCCTGGCCCAGCTAAATGCTTAGAAGCTAAAGTGTATATATAGTATAGCCCCTCTCCCAGTGAGGGGCTGTCAGTCAGCAACAAGCATTGATTAAGTGCCTACTATCTGCCAGGCACTGTGCCAGGTACTGGAGACACAAAGAACCATCAGAAGGAAAAAAAAAGGCAAATTAGCCTACACTGACAGAATCACTTCCAGTCCCTACCCAACCCTCACCATTAGACTGGAAGCTCCTTGAGAGCAAGTCTAGGGTCCAAATTATCCTTTGTTTTAGTGTTTCCCCCATCTTCCCTGGGTCTTCGAACTGGCATAGTTGAGTCTTAATAAGTATTTGTTACATGAAAGAATGAAATATGCTGACAGGCTGGACCAAAAAAAAAAAAAGAGACTGAAGAGGCGTGAGTGAGTGAGTGAGTGAGTCTGTGAGAAGGTCATTTTAGGCAGAAGAAAGTTCAGGGAAGTAAGGCTAGGAATAAGGAAGCATAGCAGGCTGGTGCTGGGGGTCAAGGGGCTGCCCCCAGAATGGCTCCTGGCATGGGAAATTCAATCCTGGACCGGTGCAACCTAGGACAGCCCCAGCCCCCTGCCCTGGCCCCGTGTGTCAATTCTGATGTTCTCATGTCCACCCCCTCTTCCATCCTTCACACCATACCACTCCCTTTGGGATGCCCCAGATCTGCCTGAGGTCTGTCCCCCTGCCCTGGCCTGCCCTAACCCTGAACCTCTCCCCCCACCCCTGCCTGCAGGAGACGTGTGCCCGAATCCTCCTGTATCGGGGGGCCAACAAGGAGGTGAAGAACAACAATGGACAGACCCCTTTCCAGGTAAGGAGACCCTGGAGAGGTTGGGGGGGAGGGGAGGAAGTAGAGGTGAGGACTGGAAGGAAGGAAGGAAGGAAGAGTGAATAAAGGAAAACAAGGTATGCAAGTTACAGGAGAAAAGGGAAATTGGAAGAAATAGGAGAGGCTATGGGCGATATGTAAGATGGAAGAGGATGGCAGGGGTAGAAGAGGGGATAGGAAAACAAGGGGCGAAAGATGGGAAAGGAGAGGAGAGAGGGATGCTGGGGAGGACAGGGGACATAGGAGAGGAAAGATAAGGAGGGGTGATAGGAGAAAGTGAGGAGGAAGGATGATAGGGAGATGGTCAGTAAGTCAACAAGCATTTATTAAGTGCCTACTATATACCAGGCACTGTGCTGGTGCTGAGGAGACAGAGAAAGGCAAAAGATAGTCCTTCTGTCAAAGAGTTCATAGTCTAATGGCAGAAACAGCATGTAAACAACTCTGTACAAACAAGATATGTGTGAGACAAATTGGAGATGATCCACAGAGAAAAGACACTAACATCACGGGGGACTGAGAGAGACTTCTCCCAGAAGGTGGGCTTTTAGTTGAGATTAAAGAAGTTAGGAGGCAGAGATGAGGAGGGGGAGAGTACTAGGCATGGGGGAAGCCAGAGGAAATGCCTGGAGCCAGGAGATGGAGCAGCAAGGCCAGTGCCATAGGATTGCAGGTGGCAGTAGTGACAGGAGAAAGCAGAGAATAAAAGTAGGACAGGAGTGGAAAGGGAAGATAGGAGGCAGGAAAGGAGAACTAGAAGAGGAAGGGAGAGGACATGGAGAGAGTTTGACGAGAAGAGAAGTGGAGAGAGAAGGGATGGAAGGAACAGGGAAGGAGGGAGGGCAAGGATAGAATAGGGAGGGGGAAGAGGAGAGGGTGTGAAGGGCAGTGGTGGAGAGAGGGGACTGAAGAATTGAGAGAGTAGAGAGAGAAGAGGGAAAGGAGGGAGGGAGAAGAGGTAGAGGCAGTACAGAAGAGGAGGCACAGGAGAAGATCCAGGTGATGGCTTGGAAGGGCAGCAGGGGGGAAGAGTCAGGAAAGTAGAAGAGAAGGGTAAGGGCAGGAGGGGGCATTTAGGGCGAGGAATGATCAGAAAATGGGCGTGATATAGAAGGGCTTAGGGAAAGGGAGAATAGGGCTATAGGGGAGAGTGATGGTAGGGGAACATAGCTAATTAGCAAACTTTGGGGGAGTAGGCTAGAGCTAGGCTTGCTGTCATGATTGTTCTTACCTGGCCCCTGGGGTCACCTCCTCTCTTCTCTGCCCCCATCTGGGCCAGGTGGCTGTAATAGCTGGCAACTTTGAGCTGGGGGAGCTGATCCGAAACCACCGAGACCAGGATGTGGGTGAGTGAGGTGGGGGCTGGAGGTTAGGGGATGGTGAGGGTGACATGGCAGATGAGAGAGAGGAGCATGTGTGGAACTTGGTGGCACCTGATATAAGGGGTGGGCTGAGCAAGGGATACAGGGCTGTGAGAATTCTGGGGAGTGTATGGGGCTGTGCTTGCCCCTACCCAAGCTCATCTCCCCCTTTTCCCCTCTCCCCCCACATGTCTGCCTCTATTCCTCCCACATCTCTGCCTCCATCCTCCCTTATCTCTTTCCATATCTCCATCCTTCCATTCTCACGATCCCTCTCTTTCCTTCTGATTCTCCTTTCATCTCTTCCCTCCCTTATCTCTTCACAACTCTATCTTCCCTTCCCTCATTCCTACATATCTTCTCTCTAATTTCTTTCCAACTATCTCTCTCCCCTTGTCTCCCCAAATCCTTCATTCTCTCCCTCATCTCTTTCCCCCACTTCTCCATCTTTAATTCATTCTCCTTCTTCTCATCTCTTGTCTCTTTCCCCATCTCTCTCCACTTCCCTCATCCATCTCTCCCTTCATCTCTTTCTTAACCTCATCTTCTTATCTCCACTCTCACATCTCTCTCTTTTTCCCTCACTACTCTTCTGTCCCCGTCTCCCTTGATCCTCTCTGCTTTCACCCTCATCCTTTTCACCTACCCACGTCCCCCTTTCTTATCTCCCTTTTTAATCTCCATTTCCCTCTGTCCTCATGCCTCCATTCCTCCTCTCATCCCTTTCTCTATCTTCCCAATCTGAATTCTCTCTCTATTGCTTCTTTCTCATGCATCTTCCCATCTTCTCCTCTCATCTCATCTTTCTCTCCATCTCCTCTCCATAATCTCCCCTTTTCTTCATCTCCCCCTTTCCCAATTTCATCTCTCCTCCTTCCCCATTCCTCCTATCTCATCTCTCTCCTGTCTCTTACCCTTTTCCTCTCTGCCTCTCTCATCTTTTTCTCATCTCTCTCCTTCCCTCAACCATCTTCATCAACCCCCATCTTTCCCCAAATCTCTTTCCCTCACCTTCACTCTAACCCACCCTACTAGTCCCCTTCCAGGAGTCCCCCAAGTATGCAGCCCGTCGGAGGGGGGGTCCACCAGGCACAGGGCTGACTGTGCCCCCGATGCTGCTCCGTGCTAACAGCGACACCAGCATGGCACTGCCTGATTGGATGGTGTTTTCACCCTCTGGGCCCCCTGGTCCTGGTCCTGCCCCAGCGGCCCCAGCTCCGACAACCCCCTCAACCCCAGGCACCAAACTCAGCAGCGGCACTCTGCGTAGTGCCAGCAGCCCTCGGGGTGCCCGCGCCCGCTCCCCTTCCCGAGGGAGGCACCCAGAGGAGGCAAGGAGGCAACCCCGGGGACGGCCCAGGTAGGGGGAACTACTGATATCCCCAAAATCCTTCTTTCCTATTCCCAAGACCTCTTTCCTCATGAATGGCCAAGGAAGATCCTAATCCCTCCTCTCCTGGCCTTCTGTTCCACAGATGGCCAGGAATACTCCATTACTCTTCCCACATCCCAACTCCTTTTCCCCATGAACATTCAGGGTAATCTCCATCCCCCTAATCCTCTTCTCCCACTCCCAACATCCCCTTTCCCTATAAAAATTCCTAATCATCATCCCTCCTACTCTAAATACCCTTCTGCCCCATTCCCCTGCTCTCCATACTCCTCTTTCCTATGGACACTGAGGAAAGCCCCCGACTTCCCTGTAAATCTCTCTCCCTCCCTACTTCCTCATGAATACCCTAACCTCCCTATCCCTCCTTCCCCATGACTGCCCCCAGCAACCCCAGCCTTCCTCCCCGTGGATGGCTAGAAAAGCCTTTAGCTCTCCCATTGGTCCTACCTCCCAACCCATGGATGACCTGGGAATCCCTAGCTCTCCATAAATGATTTATTCTCCATGGATTGCCCCAATTTCTTCTTCCTCATGGATTTCCAAATGTCCCTTATCCCTCCCTTTCCAATCCAATGCCTTCATTTGTCATGGATGGCCAGGGAAATCCTCAACTCTCCCATCCCAGTTCCACGGCCTATCCCCTCCTTCCCTAGAGAAACTCATATCCCTAATCTTCCACATCTACTCACTAAACCACTCCTGCTCTATTACCTAATTTTCACCCTCCCTATCCAAGAAATCACAGGCATATCAAATTCCCCAGATTCCCAAATTGCTTTTCCAGGACCCCTTAAATGCATCCATTTCTTTTATAAGTATTCATTAAAATGTCTACTATGTGCGAAATCTTATGCCCAGCACTAGGAAAGGTACAAAGATAAAATATAGTTCCTGCTCTCAAGGCACTTCCAGGCAAGTAAGGGTGATGTGAAACATGTAAGGATCAATGTTAACCTGGAGAGAGGTCTCTAGCAGAGTGCCATAGGGCTCTTTTCTTGGGCCCCATCACCATTTAGATAGCATGCTTATCAAATGTAAAGCTATCCAAGAGTTGGGAAGGAGAGCTAAGAGGTTAAACAAGTTAGAAGCCAAGAAGATCTTGTCAGGCTAGAACCATAGGCTAATGGGTTGATGACTTTAAGATGGAATTTATTAGGAATAAATGTAAAGCCATCCTCATGGGACTCAAAAAGCCAATGGCACAAGTACATGATGGGGGAGGTGTGACAAGACTACGTCTCAGAAGAAGAAATGCTTGAGGGTCTCAGTAAGCTACAAGTTCTGTATGAACCCCAAAAGCAAATTTGGCTTTAAGACGTAGGATCAGAAATAGTGTTCTGAATGGGGAGGGGGGGTGATGATGTGGAGCTCCCTGCCCTCAGCAGGCAATGGCAGAACACAGGGGACTGTGTTCACTTCTGGGGGCCATATTTTAGGAAGACCCTTGGCAACCTGGAACTTGTCTAGAGGAGGGCAGCTTTGGTAGGTGTGTGGGAAAGAGGGAACTTAGAAGTGTGCCAGACTAGGATTAGCTGAAGAAATGGGGGGGTGGGGTGGGGGGAATGTAGTCAGAAGTAGGAAAGACCTCGGGATGCAGGCTAAGTGGGCTCCATGATCTGAAGGGCTGTCAGCAGGAAGAGAATAAGCCCTGCTTTGCTTCATCACAGGATAGAACTGGGAGCAAGAACAGTGAGTTTCAGGGAGGGAGATTTAAATTTAATGTAAAAAAAACCCCATCCTAGGGATAGAATTGGCCAAGAGTGGAAGCTCTCCACGCTTGGAGATCTGGATGCCTGCCCACTCGTCGAAGGTGGTTTAACTGAGATGGCCGTGATTTGCACAGGATCAGGCTGTTATGTCCAGCCCCTTCAGCTCTGATGCTCTGCAGTTCTAAATAGGGAGGGTCAGACCATTCTGTAGAAGACTTTAAATACCAAGCAAAAGAATCCAGACTTGTTTCTGGGGGCCATTGGGAGCCACGGATGTTTTCTGAACAGTGTAGGGACATGGCCAGAATATAAGAGCATGCGGAAATGACACTGATATTCTGTGAAAAACAGATTTAAAAGGGAGAGGTTGGTGGATGAAGAGACTTCTACAATAAGACTGCCTTGGGTTGGAGGTAGCTATGGAGAGAGACAGGAAGCCCCCAATCGTCCCTCCCTGACTTTCTGGCTCCCTTTCCACTTAAGTTCCTACCAAAGGTCCTTCCACTCAATATGCACCAAGCCCCATCCCCTTCTCCCCTCCCTCCCCCTGCCCCACCCCATGGTGCTCCTCTGGACATCCCCTTTCCCTCAACACTCCTTATATATATCCCAGCTCCAGTGGGACACCCAGAGAGGGGCCATCTGGGGGCACAGGGGGATCCGGGGGCCCTGGGGGCTCCCTGGGAAGCCGGGGACGGCGACGGAAGCTCTACACAGCAGTACCAGGACGCTCCTTCATGGCCGTGAAACCATACCAGGCCCAGGGCGAGGGGGAGATCTCCTTGAGCAAGGGAGAGAAGATCAAAGGTACCTGGGGTTGGGGCGGTGGGATGGGCTTGCGTGTGTGGGTGGAATCAATTTTCTAGTGTTTCTTGAATGCCTACTATGTGTAAGACCCTGGAGGATACAAATGAGTGGCATGCCCCTACCCTCAAAGAGCTTATAATCTAGTTGGGGAGACAGGACATGTATGTAAAAATATAAAAATAAAATGCAATAATATGCCAAAGGTTTCTTATTTCATCAGCACCAGGGCACTCCCCCTCCACCAAAGCAGATGGAAACTGGCCTGTAACTCAGTAGAGAGTTTTGCCCAAGGGGCAAGTAGAGGAGAAACAATTTGGCTAAAGTCAGGTAGCTTCGATGTATCAGTGGTGTGGGGGTGCCTGACTGAACTACTCCAAAGGTACCTGGGCCATGCGGTCTGAAGAGAACGGAAGGATCTCTGACCAATTACTGCCATGCGAAGGCAGCTGGTGTTCAACCATCAAAGCCAGGCAAGATCTGGCAGGGCCAAGCTAGCTCGAGAGGCTGTGAAAACCAGGTGCTGGGACGAATTGGATGTCTGTCATCCAAAGGCCAGACAAGTTGTCCAGAGAGATTTGTTACCACGTTGGCCACAGGGGGATGCTCTTTTCATCCACGATGAAAGACCATTGAGGAGTCACCAACTGGACATGTGTCAGCAGAGTGAGCCCCCACATGGATGAAATCATCAGCCAGTCAGTCCAGAAGCATTGATGAAATGCTCCAGTGTCTACTCGATTGGAAGGCTGGGGATACATAGATCAAAGTGAGGCAGCACCTGCCCTCAAGGAGCTAACATTCTACACAGGGACTTCAGCATGCTCGCTGGTGAGGAGAGGTGTACAGGATATATGCAAAGTGAATGCATAGGTTGAAACAAATAACAAAAACAACTCATATTAATAGCAAACCTTTCCTGTAATCAACTGTGTGAGGAAGGGAGTGCAAAAATCCTCCCCCCATTTTACAGATGATGAGAAAATAGAGAAGGGCCATAATTGTTGGTGCTTTTCTACTCCAAATCCAGCCCTCTTTCTCCTCCTCCATTCTGCTGTAATTCAGTCCAATTCAGTTCAACAAACACTGATCAAACACTGGAATAGGCAGAGTTTAGAAGAGATGTGGCCTGGTCTCTACCCTTCAGGGCTTGGCCCCAGTGTGATGGGGAACACGATTGTGCATGCAGACATTGAATGATGCAAACTAATACAGACAAATGTACCAGAGAAGTGCCAACAAGTGGCACACTGGAAGAAGGGAGAGATGGAGATTCAGCAGGTCTCCCGAGGGAAGGGAGGTTAGGGCAAAGGGTAAGCCAAGCCCTGGAAGAAGAGAAGTGCCAAGTGTGTTTGAGGAATGGTAATTGACCCAGTATGGCCGGAGGGTGGAGCATATGGTGGGCATTTGGACGAGACAGGACTGGGAAGGTAGGCTTATGGAGAGTTCCCAATGCTAGGCTAGGGAATTTGAACTTTTCTCTTTGGGCAATCGAGAGCCTTGGAAGGGATTTGGGTATGAGTCTGAGGAGAGGCATTCCTCAAAGTAAATACTTTCTGGTAAGAACTAGGGGCGTACAGCATAGGGCATTGTAAGGCAAAACTAGGAAAGTAGGAACTGGTGGCTCCTTCTCAGGGGAAAACCTTCAGGAGGACAGATCCAGGGAAAAAATATCTGCCCATCCATCATCTGAGGAGCAGCCCAGAGAGTCCCATTACCAGCAGACTGGCCACAGCGAGTCAAGAGATCGTCTGCTAAGGCATGGAAGGCTTGGGATCTTTGTCAGTGGGGAAAAAAAGACCCACATTGACGACTTCAACAATGCCAGAAGACTTGGAGATTATAAATCAATAAAGCAAGAAATGCCTTCTGCATTTTGGGAGGAGCCTCCACAGAAGATGCGTGGGAAGGCAGGTAGAGGAACTGCACAGAATGAGATGGAGTAGAAGTGCCTTGGCTGAAGGAGGACACTTACCCTTTGCCTCAACTTCCAATCCTTGAGATACTGAGTATGGTAATTGGAGGGACTCCTCCATCCCACTGAGCCCAGCCTCTGTGCAAGCTGACGCAATGGTATGGATACAAATCCAACAGAGCAAGAAGGTGTGCACCGGTGGTGAGCTCTGGTGGTGGAAGCAGGACCCACGTAGATTCTATTACAGCTCTTTTCATCATTGGAGAATTAGACATTAAAAATATCCCCAATTATAGACTGTACTATAGCTGTACGTGAGTCAGATTTGAGGGGAAAATGGTGGCCAATAGTCAAACTAATTGTTGTTCAGTCATTTTTCTGTGTTTTCTGTGTCTGACTCTCCATGAACCCATCTGGGGTTTTCTTGGCAGAGATACTGGAGTGCTTTGCCATTTCCTTCTCCAGCTCATTTTACAGATGAGGAAACTGAGGTGAATGGAAAGAAATGACTTGCCCAGAGTCACAAAGCTAGTGTCTGAGGCCAGATTTGAACTCAGGAAAATGAGTCTTCCTCACTCTAGGCCATGGTCTGTTTGCTGCATCACCTAGCTGCCCTGTGAAATCAATAGAGAGACTCCTGGAAGACATTATTTGAGAAGTGGGCAGTGAGTGTTATGAGTTCAAAGGGAAAAGTCCTTGTGGGCCGGGGTGGTCAAGGAAGACTTCACCAGGAGGCTACGACTTGTTTGGAACCTTGAGAGATAGGGGGAGGGGAAGGCAGCTGTGAATGTGGAATGTGCCAAGAGCCCAGGTTTCAAATCCCAGCTCCACTGCTTTCCATGTGACCATGTGACCATGAACAAATCACTTCTACTGTTCTGTGCTTGCTTCTTCATCTGTAAAATAGGGATGATAATACCGTACAGTGATGTCCTAGGGTCCTTGTGAGGAGCAAATGAAATCATGGACGTAACCTGCTTCTGTGACCGGAGACTTTTGGATAAATGTCGGCTGCTTATTATCCTCCTCCTCCTCCTCGGAGAGGGTGGCAGAGGGGCAAGGGGCCCAGTGGAGAGAGGGCCGAGGGCTGGGCTGGGAGCTGAAATAAACTGGGCTTGGGTTTCAGAGCTGGCAATGCCACTTTCCTAAAAATGGCTATTGATGGATGGAAAGAATGAGATGAGGACTGTGACCTCATTGGTCCATGAAGCTCCCTCTTCCATTGCAAATTGGATCCTTTTCTGCACCTTAGAATTTTGTTTCAGATTTTCAATATTTTCTTGCTATCTTGCTTCTAGGCCACCTGCCATTCCAAAGCCTCCCTTTCCTAGCTTTCATCTTCCCCAGAAAGCCATTGCTGGCGACAAAGAATAAAAAAAAAAGTTCAATCCCCCAAATGCTACTTCTTAGCAAGCCAAGTAACCTCTCTGGGCCTCTTTCCTCATCTATAAAATTAGGACACCTGCAGGCCTTAAAAGGCCCTGAACTTGGACCCACGAGACCAGGATTCAAATCCTGCCTTTGGCATTTTTACCAGTTGTGTGACACCAGGCAAGTCACCTTAGCCCTCTGAGCCTCAGTCTCTTAATTTGTAAAATGAGGAAAATTATATTGGCATAACGTAGGTCACAGAGTTGTCATGAGAAAAGTGAGCTTTACAGTGCTGTAGAAATTGTGTAAGTATACACTCTTACTGCTCCTGAAGGCATTCTGTGTGGAATAAAGTGAGGCTGGAAGTAGAGGCAGCAGGCTGGCTGAAACAAGCAATCAGGGGGGCAAGCATAAGGGACGAGCAGGGAGTGGAAACGCAGACTTGGAGGAAGAAGAAGCAGGAGGTTCATGTCCTGGTCCTGGTACCTGTGGCTGTGGGCGAGTCCCCGAATATTCACTCAGCCTCAGATTCAGCATATGTAAGAAGAGATGGCTGCACATCTCTGAAGTCCCTACTCACTCTCTCGTCTTGGAGTGTGAGGCGCACAGATAACGGGGAAGTCGTGTGGGCAGAGCAGGGGAAGGTGAGGCTGGAAAGGCAGACGAGGGCCAGGCTGCTACTACATGAGATGGTGCCATTGGCCTTTGCTAAGAATTTGAAATGTCGGCTGAAATGTTGGACAGGGAGGAATAGCCAATTCTGCCCTTCCATCCCAAAAGGCAGCAGTCTGAGAGCACAAGTTGGTGATCTCCAAGTGAGTCCAGTGTGATAATGCACCGAGGTGTATAGCCTAGTGCGATCTTAGACAGCATGAAGAGACACAGTGTCCAGGGTCGGGGCGGGCGTGCACGAGGGGCCTCTAATAGCGCCCCCGTCCTCTTCCCCTGTCAGCCTGTCTAGAGGTCCGGGTTTAATTCTGGGGGCCACCTTTGAGGAAGGATGTTGACAAGTGAGAGCTCGTCCAGAGAAGTGGGACCTGAGGCAGGAAGGAGACTCACAGCCATGCCAGAGGAGGACTCCTTGAAGGCCCCACCTTTTAGGCTTCTTCTCTTCCTTCAAAGTTCAGCTTGGGTGCCACCTTGAAGCCTTCCGTCATCTCCCCTCCAAGTGAAGCCACTCCAAGTTTCCTTTGAGCCCTCTGTGTGGATCTCGACTTTGCTTCATCATATCCACCCCCCCACCCCCACCCCAGGAGAAGGGAGCGATGTGACAGTAGCATGGGTGTGGTCTTTCACTTCTGGGTCCCCTCCATCCAGCGCAGAGCTGTGCACAGAGTGGGCCTTTAATGAACACACATTGAATGACCAGCTACAGTGAAAACATCGGTGCTGCATAAATGCTTCCTTCCCGGTTGAATGTTTTAGTACTATAAATGTCATTCGCTTCAGTTTTAGCACAGCATTTGATCAAGTTTCTTGTACTTCTCTTGTGGAAAAGATGGAAAGATGTAGGCTAGAAAATAATGCAAATGAGTGAATTTGGTGGAAGGAACTCGGGATGCTTAGCCCGGAAAAGAGAAACATGAAGGGGGATGAGTATCTGAAAGGTGGTCATGGAAGAGGAATGAGACTTGATTGTGTGAATTCCTGCACAGGTCCTCTTTGACCAAGGTATCCCCTGAAGCCCTTTACAGCTGTCCTGGGTGGCAGTTTGACCAAATGACCTCTGAGGTCATCACATATAAGCTATGTGATGTGATCAAAGGAATTCTTGCCCATCCATGACCTCTGAGTTATCTCCCAGTTTGGAGAACCTCTATATGGGGTGAGGAGTCAGAGGAGATAGGTTCTGAGATCTCTTCCAGCACTGAGATACTAGGATTCTATGATGTTGGGAGGGAGGGGAGGGGGAAAAGGGGGAGAAGGTAGAAGAGAACCTTCAATATCTGGTGAAACAATATGGAGTTTACTTCTTATTTGACATGACTTTCTGTAATTTCATGCCAATAATTTTGAGTGCATGAAAAAACATTTTGTCCTCAATTCTGTTTCCCTGGACCCCTCTCTAGGGATTCATGGTGGTGAAAAATTGCATCCAGTTGTGTGTGTGGGAGGCTAATGGGAAAGGAGGAGTTGTGATTCTCTTTCCTTCTTAAAGCGCATGCTGGGGGACATAGGAGAACTCCTTGACCAAAATAAAAAAATAACAGCAGTGGTGAGAAGAGGTGTGTGTATGTGGGATGAGGAGAGCAGAGATTCAAAACCTTGCTATATAAGGATTTATTAATCAGTTGGGGATGTTTCAACTGAAAAAGAGAAGATATTAAGGTGAGGGGTAAAGCTACTATCTTCAAATATAGGAAGGGCTGGCTGGCTTGAGGAAGAGGGAGTAGGCTTGTACATCTTGGCCCCAGAAGGCAGAAATAGAGCCATTGGGGTGTGAGGGAAGGCTTCGGTTTATATGGTAATCAGAGCTGTCCACAAGTAGAACCAGGTGCTTTGGGAGGTAGCGCTGTCCCCATGAATAGAAAACGTCCCACAAAGGCTGATTGGCTGCTTCTCGGGGCATTCGAGATGTTGCTTCAGGGATAGTTTGGATGGCGTACCTTCTGGAGTCTCTTCCAGTCTGCATGGTATTGAGGGGGTGCCTGCATAGGGTGAAGATCACTTCTGAGGTTACTTCCAATTGAAATGTTATCATTTTATGAGATAAAGGGATGAGGAGATAGATCTAGGATCTTTTCTCCCCAGAGGTGATATAAGCCAAAAACAGAAAAAAAGAAAGAAAGAAAGAAGGAAGGAAGGAAGGAAGAAAAAGAAAGAAAGAAAGAAGGAAAGAGAAAGAAAGAAAGAGAGAAAGAAAGAAAGAAAAAAAGAAAGAAGGAAGGAAGGAAGAAAAAGAAAGAAAGAAGGAAAGAGAAAGAAAGAAAGAGAGAAAGAAAGAAAGAAAAAAAGAAAGAAGGAAGGAAGGAAGAAGGAAGGAAGGGAAGAAGAGGAAAAAAGGAAGAAAGAGGCTCGAGGAGAGATTAAAGAAATTCCCTAACAACTGATTATAAGTTTTTGAGACAAATGAGAGATACTTGGTGTGGGGGCAGGGTATCGTTGACCTTCAGAGGAGAAGAGCACGTCCTCTCCCTTGAAGGCCAGAAGCTTGGGATGACCCACTGGGCTACTGCATACAGTCAAGCAGTGTCAGAGCTGAAGGGACTTCAGAGATCATGTCATCCACTCCTCACTTGCCCAGGAATCTTCTGCAATGCAAACAAGAAGAGGGTCATGTCTAACTTTAAGCTTAAGGACTTGTTGATTGGGGGAGGGGCTGTAGAGGTCTGTGCACGCTATGGGGGAAAGCTGCTGGATGGTGGGAAGGTGGTGAGCAGATTCTGAATGCCATTCCCTGTCTTACCCTCTGGCCCAGTGCTCAGCATCGGGGAAGGAGGCTTCTGGGAAGGTCAGGTCAAAGGTCGAGTTGGCTGGTTCCCCTCAGAGTGCCTAGAGGAGGTGGCTAATCGCTCCCAGGAGGGAAAGCAAGGTAACACGACCTCCCTTTCCTTGATTGGGGGTGAGGGGATTGGACTATTGATGGGAAATCTGTCAAGGGGAGAAAGAAGGCTGTGGGTGGAGTAAGGGAAGGAAGGAAGGAAGTGACCTAGGGATGTCACTCAGGTTCTCCCCCCGACCCTTCTCCCATCCAGAAAGTAGGAGTGACAAAGCCAAAAGGCTCTTCCGACACTACACCGTGGGCTCTTACGACAGCTTTGACGCCCCCAGGTAAGGAGTTCTCCCAATCCCCCTGCTTCTGTCCTCCCTAACTTTCCAATACCTTTGAACCCCATTGACCCAGCCCATTCACAGATTGTTCTATCTGAAAGGGCCATTTGAGGTCATCTTGTCTTACCTCCTTACTTTGTCAAGGAGGAAGCTGAGCCCAGAGAAGGCGAGATCACGTAGCTGGCAGAGTTAGAAGTAGAAGGAGAGTTCAGACTAGAACCTAGAGTGGTGTCCGGCATACTATTTACATACCATTTCCTCCCCCACCCCCCACCCCACCCCTGCCAAGCTGCCTCTCCTTGAAGGCGGACCCTTTTCCTTCTCCCAAGGGAGTCCTCTTAGAGGGGAGTCTTGACTCTGTTGAGTAGGGCCAGAATTAGCTATGGGAAACAAATATGTCTCAACCTTCTGTGGCTTCTCGGTGTCTGTATAATCCAGGGTCGGAAGCTGGGGGAAACAATCAGCAGATGTCCCATCTCCCTAATGCTTATACCCAGGCTGGTGCATTGGACAAATGTCCCAGCCCTGGGGGCCTGGGCCGGGAAGAATTGGGGACAAAAGGGAGGAGGGGGTTGGTAAAAAGATGTACTGGCTTGTTTTCTCTCTCCACCCGCTGTCTAGATCTTCTGAAACTAGTAGATGCAAGGGATTGAACTTGTTTTGGGGAGGAAGGGGTCTGGAAGGGGAACGACTTGTGTGGGTGTGTGTGTGTGGTGTGTTTGTCTGTGTGTGTGTGTGTGTGTGTGTTCTTGCTCCCAAGGCTAGTATACCTTTATGAACCTATGTATTTCTGGGAATATATGTGAATATGAGTATATTTCCCTGAAAATGTATTTTCAAGTGGGTATGGCTCACCCATTCATTCCATGACTATTTATTAAGCACCTACTGCGTGCAAAGCCATACAAGCATGATTAAGACAGGGTACATGTGTCTTGGTGATCAATATATGTATACAGATACATGCTTCTGTCCGAGTGGGAGTGGCTGTGTTCCTTTAATAATTTTTGAATGTATGTTTTTATGTGTGTATGACTGTGAGTATGGGCAGGTACTTTTCTTCTAGTGTGTGTCCACATGTCCTTATGTCTTAGTGTGTGAGTGACCCTGTTTATGTGTGTTTTCTCCTTGGGTTTCTGCTTATGACTTTGTTGATTTGTGTGTTTTTTCCAAGTGTGTATGTCTGTCTTGATACATGCTTGTGTGTCTCCATGGGCATGTTCCTGAATCTATCTGAATATCCATATGTGTCCCTGTGAGTGGCTGTGTGTTTGCAGGGAATGGGTGTGTATGTGTATGCCCACGTGTGCTTTCTGGAAGTGTTTGCCTTACTATATGCCTAGCTTCTTGTCTGTCTTTCTGTCTAACTCTGTGTCTCTACATGCCTTTGCATCTGGGTCTCTGGGAGGCTTTGGCTACCTCTGCTCCCAGGACAGAAGCCTGCGGGGGGAGAAGGAGGCTCAGTTTAGTGTCTTAGATCAAACTCAAGAAGGTCCTGCATTGATGGTGTTGTTACATTAAATGTGTCCCAAACCTGTGTGTCTGTGTTCTGGCCAGTGGAAAAGGGTTTGAGGGTGGATGGAGGGAAAAAGGAAGATATGGAAAGAGGGACTGTGTTATCCTACACCTGTATTTATGTCTGAGGCATTTGGACCTACTCACACCCCCCAGGAAGACTTCTCTCTCTGGCCCTAGTTAAGTGCCTGAGTGGTTCTCTCTGTCTCTTGGTTTTCCTTTTTCCCTCTGTCTTTGCCAGCTCCTTCCTATCTGCCCCTCTCTTTTCCTGTCCCCCTTTCTGGGCCTCTTATTGTGTTTCTATCCCCCCCCCCCCGGTTGTTTCTCTCTAACTCTGTCCTTGTCTCCCTCCTCCCTCTCTCTCTCTTTCTCTCTCTCTCCTTGCATTCCTACTGTGCCTTGTGGGCCTATTTCTCTATCACCCTCATGCTGCTGTGGCGCTGGCAGCTGAGAATCATCTTCCTGAGACTCTAAAACTCTTTCTGTACCCCTATCAACATTGTATGATTCAGGCTGGCTATCTCTTTCCATTTGAGTGTGTCTGTGTCTGTGTCTGTGTGTGTCTGTGTCTGTGTCTGCGTGTGTGTGTGTGTGTGTGTCTGTGTGTGTGTCTGTGTCTGTGTGTGTGTGTCTGCGTGTGTGTGTCAGAGTGTGTGTGTCTGCATGTGTGTCTGTGTGTGTGTCTGTGTCTGCGTGTGTGTGTGTCTGCATGTGTGTGTGTGTGTCTCTGTGTCTGTGTGTGTGTCTGCATGTGTGTGTCTGTGTGTGTGTGTCAGAGTGTGTGTGTGTCTCTGTGTGTGTGTCAGAGTGTGTGTGTGTCAGAGTGTGTGTGTGTGTGTCAGAGTGTGTGTGTGTGTCTCTGTGTGTGTGTGTGTCTGTGTGTCTGCGTGTGTGTCTGTGTCTGTGTGTGTGTCTGCATGTGTGTGTGTGTGTCAGAGTGTGTGTGTGTGTGTGTCTGTGTCTGTGTCTGTGTTTGTGAGAGAGAGACAGAGACAGAGAGAAAGAGAGAGAGGAGAGAGAGAGAGAGAGAGAGGGAGGGAGCCAGACAGAGAGAGACCCTGAGAGGGAGAGGCCCTGTCTTGGAGCAGGCCGCGGTGGGCTCTTTCACTCTGCCCTGACTGTGCTGTGTCGGTAGATGGCTCCACTAGGACACTCTGCTGTGTGCCTGTCGTGCTCTCTCTGGCCCCGCTTGTGCAGTGTGGTTTGTTTTGTGTTGTGTGTCCCTCTCTCCTCTCTCTCTCTCAGTCTGCACCTGCGCGGGAGGGCTCTGGAGGGAGGAGAAGTGGAGGGGGGGGGAACCAGACCGGAAGTGCCTCCCCCCTTCTTCTCCTCCTCCCCCCCTTCTCGCCCCTCCCCCTTCTCCCGCCAAGGGGGCCCCTGCGTTCCCCTCCAGGTCTCCCCTCCCCCCCTCCTCACTCCCAGCCCCCCTACGCAGCCCAGCGCAGGATGCCAAGGGGTTAAAACCAGGCGCCTGCCCGCCTGCCTCCCGCTCTGTCAGCGGGGCTGAAACCGGCGGCGCTGTCCCTGGTGCTGAACCCGGCGCTGTCCGTGGTATTGAACCCAGCCCCCCTCGCCCCCCCAGCATGTGAGCCTCCCTCTCCCTACCCCCCTTCCTCCCTGCCCCCCGGGGGGGGGTCGTGCCCCCTTCCTCCCCCGGCGCGGGTCAGCATGAGGTGGGGCCTGGGGGCCCGGACACGGGGGACGCGGGGGCGGCCGGGACCGGGGCCGGGGCCAAGGCGATGGCTTTGTCTGCGGCCGGTGGCAGTAGCGGTGAAGGGGGGGCCCCCCTGCCGCAGCCGCCCCCCCTGTCCTCCAGCTGGCCGGCCCTGGGGCCCCGGCGGCGCAGCGTCTGGTATATCTACAGGTAATGGAGCCCCCAAACACCCCCTTTTCCCCTCCTCCCATTGGATGGATTCCTTTCCCAGGATCTCTTTTTCCAGTCCCCCTGGGCCACAAACCCCCTTACCTCCCCTCTCCCAGGACTCCCTCTTCATTGCCTCTCCCTCCCCCAACACTTTCACTGGATTCTGCCGTTACCCCGCAGCCCCCTCCTAATTTCCCACCTCTCCAACCCATCCGGTTGCTCCAGAACCCCTCCCCCAACTTCAGGAACACTATCTCTAGTCCTTTCACGCTGGGCCCCTACCTTTACTCTCTATCTCTCCAATCCCATGTCCTTCTTCGACTCTCCAGGCCCCTGAGAACCATCTCCCTGGTGCCCCCTAATCCCAGGGCACCACTGTCTACATATTCCTTTCCCCACCCCCATCCCTCTCCTTAGCTTCCCCCATCAAAAGGCCCCATTCTATTCAGACCCTCTTGGGTTTCTCTTTACCTCCCATTCTCCAACCCCTAGCCCTCACTTCCTTCATCTCTCTAGCCCCAATGGGACCCATTTCAGATCCTCTCATCTTTACCTCTCTCTTCCCAGCCCTTCTCCTTATCTTTCCATCTCTCTAACCCTTGTCCCTTTCCCCTGTCTCTACAGTTCCCTGCCAGGACCTCTCTGCCCAACTCGCTACTGAGCCTTTTGCCTGCTTCCCCCAAACTCTTCAGACTCTCCCCCCAGTGCCCAGTGCCTTCTTAACCCAAGCATCACCTTTATTCCAGACCCTTTCCCAGAGTCTTCTCTCTCTTTCTAGCTCTGTACCCCAGATTCCCTATGCACTATCCCCACAAATCTACTCTAGAATTCCAAACTCCCCTCTCTGCTATCCTCTGACACCCCTCTACATCACTCAGCTCCCCAACTCTGTCTTCCCACTCCAATTGAACCTCCATGTACACACTCCTCCAATCTTCCATCCCTCTGTTTCCCCCATCTTCCCATTCACCCCTCCCAGAGCCAGCAAACCCCTCCACCCCATTCATCCCCCTCTCTCCATTCACAGTCATTCACCGCCCCCCTATCATACACACACCCCGCCCCCTCCTTCCCTCCCCTCCCCTTTCCCTCACTGCATGTCACTATGCGACTGTGTCAGAAGGAGAGAGAGAGAGAGAGAGAGAGAGAGAGAGAGAGAGAGAGAGAGAGAAGTGCATGTGTATGTGTAAAATGGTGGATTTTTGTCTGACCCCAAGAGTCCTATGTATCTAGGTCTCTGTCCATATATTCCTGTGTGATGGCATATATCTCAGAGCAATATCCTGCATGTCTAGGGAGACCATGTGTGTTACAGTGTGTGAGCAGAGGGGAGTGTCCAGAGATGAGATATGCTTCTGTGTGCTTGTTCCCAAGCATTGGGGTCTCTACTCTATGGCAATTTCCCCATGTCTCTGTCATGATTGTCTTCTGTCTCCATGTACCTCCTCAAGAACCTATGTACCTCTTCTTGTCCCTGATGTGTGTGCTCCAAATATTATGTGTATTTTCCAGGTCTGAATGTCTGTCTGTCTGTCTGTCTGTCTATCTATCTATCTGTCACAGAAATGTTTATACGTGCTAGGGTCTCTGGTCTCTGAGTGCCAGTACAAGTGTAGATACA